ATTGAGTACTATAATTATTTTAGCTTTCCCTTTATTTAGACGATCAAATTTTGAGTCAATATTTTTATGCTAAATTAAAATTAAATAGGATGAACAATGCAAGTAAACGAGGGCAAATTATGAATTTTCTTATCAAATTATGAATGCCTAGGGAATGATTTCATCGTACATTCGATAATATTTTTCAACTGTATAACTATTTATATCAATCTTCCCAAAATTTATAGGCAAGAACACTAAAGTGATTCTATTTCCCTCTCTCGAGCGCCAAATAAAATCTATTTTTATATATTAATTCCAATATCTCTATTCCGAATTAAAAATATAAAAATTATCAAGCACATGGTTCTTAATTAAAACAAGTCTCAAAGATCGCACTTTCTCTCGAAACCTACGAAATCTAGGTTATGTTGTCTTAGGTCACGCCTAAATTTGCCTCTCTCAAGAGCTAAAATTTAGAACACCAAATCAGTCAATTAGTGGCCAGTTAATTGAAAGCGCAGCACAAACAGCATAAATAAATAAAAAGGAAAGATCAATTGAAATAATTATAACGGAATCCAAACATATCTCAAGTAGGCTACATCATCCCTAGAATAATTGTTTAGTTCATAATTGAGAAAACTGACATGAATAAATTAATAAGAAAGAACATAGAGAAGAAAAGGAATAGAAAAACTCGTTTTTGCCTCTCGATTTCTTCTTCCATTGTTGCCAAATTTTCTCAATTAACTTCCTCTTCTTTAATTGTATTGACCAACCATGGGTTTGTCTCCAAATTTTTGCAATTGGCCGGCTAAACTCCTCTTTCCAGTCACGTGTTCTTGCCGGTTGCTTCCAGTTTTCCTTGCTTGTTTTCCCCTCTTAATTAGGTCTTTTAGATAGTATTTATAGTCTCCTCAAGTGTTGGACCATTTTGGGTTGGAATGGGCCGAGAAAGAAATCCAAAAATATCAAAATACGTTTCCCCGCATAGGCGGCGCCATGGTACCCGGTTCGGGTGAAAAATTCTTTCTGCGCATCTTTCAGTATTTTTAGCATAACTTTCTTGTCTGATGTCCAATTGAGGTGATTCAAAGCTCGTTAGAAAGCTAACTCAAAGGGGTACAAATTTTCTTCAGATATTATTCTTCGCTTCAATCGTTTGCTATGTCAAAAATGAGTCTCAATGTGAGGCTGAAATTCCGGAGCACAACTTTTCGATTGGAAATTGATTTGTGATCATATTTTGACTAAATTCGATCCCTTTGACATCTTTTTTTCATCCAATTGACTCCTAGCATGCTCGGATTTTCATTGTGAGGTTCAACACCACTTTTCAATATTTGCGTTTTAGTCCTCGAACTTTGGATCTCTTACAATTTAGCAATTTTCTCCAATTTCGTCAACTTTTGCTTATTTCTTTCAATTTCATCAACCTACATCACAACATCAAAACACACAATAAAAAGCTCTAAAACACTCTAAAGAGTAACAAAATAACAAATTAAGTGGCATAAATATTATGAGTGTAGAGCACTCATCAGTATGAATGTGCATCTTTTTTGAGAAATTTTTCCAAACCTAGTGTTGTCAGATAAAAAGCATTTTTTTGTCGTGGACACTTAAAATCTAACCCATTAAATTTCTCGAGTTTTTCTTTGGTCATATTAGGGAGTGTAGTACCAGAAGTTGTCATTTCAAAAACACAGTTAAGCCCTTGTTTGAGTCTCATTCTTTTCATAAAAATGTATTTTTGAATAGTATGTTGATAAAAATGTATGGTAAAAAAATAATGAAAAATAATTACGTGTAATATTTTTTTGTTGAAGAATGTGTGCTTAAAATAATATCAAATTATTTTTTTAAAATGTATTTTTTTTTTCAAAGAATAAGGCTCAAACAAGGGCTAGAAGATAAACAATAAGAAATAGAAATAGAATATACCAAAATAACAAATTCGTTTTAAGATTGTTATTTTCGAAGTATAAATTCCCTTTCGAGCAATCTGATACTATACTGATTGAATTACCGTAATATAATTTGAACAATTAACGAAATGATCAACAAATCTAAATATTAATTCTAGTCCACCGACTTCACTATGTTTTCTTAGAACAAAAATTTGCTACTTTCAAAGGTGCTAAAAGCATTCAACAATCATCTCTCAGCATAGAAGAAATTGTCTCCTATGGAAGTAGCACAGTACTCTGTAAGAATTCCACGAATTTAATGAAGTATTTTCACTTGAAGAACAATATCAAAACGAGAGATAGAGAATGAAATTCAACGTAGAGAAAGTTTGCAATGAAAACCTGTATTTATTCTGATAGCAGGGCAGACTATTTATAAATTCGTTCGTGGCCATTCAAATATTTTTCAAATTTTTTCAAAATAGTCGTCATTGTTCAAATAGCTCTCCAAGCTTGAACAGACAACTCTATTTAGAATAAAACACTACGTCTATTAAGTTGGTTATAAATCGACTTAGACTTGAAAATACCCAGGAAAAGCCAACGGTAGAAAATAATAAATATCATTAAAAAAAAATTTATTAAGCATTAAAAAATTTGATTAGTTACAATTTGGCCCAAAATTTAAATAAATTTTATCCAAAAAGATAATATAGTGCAAGGATCTTTCAGCACCTGAACACGAACTGGATCGGACTCGAACAAGGGCATGTGCTCATGCCATGATGAGCTGAACTAGCCGCATGGTTATGGCGACAATCGTGTGTAGGTTTTGTCCAAATCCAATAGGATTTAGATCTTTTCCCTTCCAAAAGCTATTAGTATCCTTAGGAGTCCAAATCCAATTGCCAAATTTCTGGTATATAAATCACACCAAAGTTTTCTAACTTTCTTATGTGGAATAAGTTTTTAGCAATTTCCAAATCAAATTCTTCACTAGTTTATAGTGTCAAGTGAATTACTTTGATATCAAATATTTTATTCAATTCTAAATGATTTTCGATAAATAAATATATGACGTTAATCATCTTACGGAGTAAAACGTGAATATGCTTAGTCCCGTTAAAGTTAAAGTACGAGTGCCGCTAAATTTGGAGCCCAAAATTGACCTAATTCACTAATTAACAAACTCTTATCAACAAGATATCGCTCTCAATCCATTTCTATGCCCACCGTCAGTTGTTCCCACTCATCTCTACCACTAGACAAAATTGGACATAAATAATAATATGTTTTTCTAAGCTCCTATTTGGCCTCCATTATTTTGATTTATAAGTTTTGGAATAGTAGTTTTTTGGAGAATATGTGGTTGAAAAAGAAAAAAAAATTTCGATTTGCATGTAATATTATTTTATGGAAGATTGTGTAATTGAAAATAAGAGAGAAGACTATAATTTGAGATAATGGAGGCAGACGGGGGTAAAAAAGCATGGGATAAACTGCAAATACCTCCACATAAGAAGTCGAGCCACATCTACTACCTAAAGTTTCAGAATCGCAAAGGCATCTGTCAGTTTTGTGAAGTGATCAAACAAAATCTGGTCATTGTGTGGAAGACATATAGTGATTCGTGCGGGGCCGAAACCGAATTATATAAACTCGAGAGTTTCTGTAACTTTCCATTTGCCACAATATAAAACAAAACCACGAAGTTATACTATCAAATTATCAATCGAAGAGTAAGTTGTGGTTAGTTCAAATAGGTTCAGTACAAGAATGAGCGTATAATTGCACATGTAACTAACTCCTATTAAATCCTTCTCTTACACAGGTACGCCGACCACTCATCTATCTTTTTACTGAGTGATGGACAGAGGTAGTCCTGAGGGTACACGAGTTGAGCGACCGTACATGCCTCAAAATTGTAGGGACACCAAAAATTTTTTGTTATAGTTGTACATTTATTTATAATTAAATATTTATGTTGGAAATTTTGAGTTTTTAGTAGCTATGATCATATGGTATAAGATATTGTATGTTGTTAACTTGATTAGTAAAAGCTTGCAATCTAATGATATGTTTATTGACGTTGCTATTGAGGAAGTGAAAAGGCTAATTGCTTTTGTTAAAAAAATATAGGGAAATTGGATTCAATGATGCAATAAATATTGTTAAAGAAATTGCCATTGAAATGAAAATTAATCCTTTATTTCAAGTGAAACGTATAATTCATAGGAAGAAACATTTTGATGAAAATGCTACTGTAGACGATGCACAATTATTTGAAGATTCTTTCATAATCAATTATTTCTTTTATATAGTAGATCAAGAAATTGGATTACTTAAACAGAGGTTTGATCAATTCAATTCATATGGAAAAAAAATAAATAAAAATTGGACTTCTATTTTCTTCTAACAAGTTAAACTCATTTGATGATGCTAATTTGAAAGCATGTTGTGATCATCTTGATATTATTTTAAGACATGTAAATTTTTGCGATCTTGATGGCGAAGATTTATTTCAAGAGTTAAAAGTTTTGCGAAATCTTTTACCAAAAGAAATAAAGATTAGATTGCTTTCCAAATACATGTATTGCTTATAGAATATTATTGACAATTCTTGTTACTGTTGCATTTGCTGAAAGAATTTTTTCAAAATTGAAGTTATTAAAATCTTATTTACGATCAACCATGTTACAAGAACGATTGAATGGATTAGTTTTGATATCTATTGAGCAAGATTTTCTAGAAAATATTGATTACGAAATTTTAATTAATGAGTTTGTTTTTAAAAATGCGAGAAGAAATATTTTTACATGATTTGTTGCATTTCAAGCTTTACACTCCGAAGACAAATTGAGATTTGTAGGCAGAGTGCACTTTTCCCTAAAAAAAAATATTTCGTAGGGTTATGATTTAATTCAAAGTTTTTTATAGCGGAAGGATCTGTGCCCACAAAAAATTATAATTTTTCCTGACAATAAAATTTTTAAGGCAAGATATATTTTTAGCCTACAAAAAAATTGACATGTTTGTAGGACAATGATTAGCGGGAAAAAATTTCAATTTTATTTGTATCTTTAGTCCCTCCAAAACTCACATCAAAATTCTCTTATCCTTTATTTGTCCAAAATCTTGCCTTAAATATTTCTCTAAAAATCGACTGCCTCCAAAAAATTTCACCGAAAGTTTCTTCCCTCTTTGCCGCTTCAATCCGTGGCTACCAAACCTAATTCCAATTTATTTAGCCACAAACTTTTTTGTAGATCTGGTGGTTGCAATTCCAATTTCTTCAATCGCATAATATCGATTTGGGTCAACAAATTTCGGCTAAATCTACTATAGATTTTGAGTTCTTCTTCAAGACGTATTCAAGGTATGACCATCAATCCTATATATTTTTTTGGTTTAAATCGATGAATTAGAAGTCTTGGGTGAACGGATTTGATTTAGTTTTAGCTTCCGGTGGATGCTGGGGATTTGAAGTCTTGTGGTTTTTTTCAAATTTGATTTGATTTAGTTTTATATTTGTATTTAGTTTAACGGCAACGTTTGAAACATAGGTGAACATAGTGTATTCATTTTTGGTTGCTGGTATAAACTATTGAAAAATTCATTATTTTTTATATACCTGAAAAGAATCAATCTTGGTGTAATATTTGTGATTTATATTTTGTTGTCTTTTAATTCACTGTTTTTTCTATGATAGTTCTGATTGTGAAATTGAGCCTTTAACTTTTGTATTTATTATAAGCAAGATTGGAATGCTGGAATTCGTTCAGGATTCGGGTACGTCGAATCTCTGGTTAAAACAATTTTTATAATGAAGGTACAGAAAAAAGTGAAATAATAATAAGAGTTCCTGAGACACAAATTCTAACAAACACCTCTTTTCTTATGCACCAGAATACTGGTTCCAACTACCTATATCCTTTTTGCCTCAGCTCTTCCAGTAATTGCATTTGGAGAGCAAATAAGCAGAGATACTGGTACACTTTTTAACTTAAGTTTGGGTAGAAAAACCCTGAACCCTGACTTGTCATTAGCTGTCAAAGTGATCATGACCACACAAAACATTATTTCTGTTTATAAAGGATTACAAGTTTTGTACTGGTTTATTGCTTAGGATTGCATAGGCTGTAGAACTTTGGTATCAACTGCAATTTGTGGTAATGTATAATACACTTTATATTTGGTGGATAAGCCTCCTTATACATACACTTATACATGTGCAGTTGCAGTCTAACTTAAATGTGTTCTTACATACTTCTAATTTATTTTATTTCCATTTTTTAGCATTAAGTTTTGTTGCATCAGCATCTTAGTTTATGAGGACATGACATTTGTTTGTTTGAACTTTGAAATTCAGTTGTATTTTTCCTTTCAGCAATGTTATATTTTGGTAGTCGCTTTTTCGCACTTTGATATTTCAACTTATGTAAATATCCAAAGTGTATGGCTGTTGGAGCAATCATATAGTGATTGACTATGAACTTAAAAAAATGGCGTATTTCTAAAGAATGATTCATGATATGCGCATAAAAGATGGAAAAGCAACATATGTCTTCCTATTGTTATTGTTATCATTGATGTTGCTTTAAAACTTCTGCATATAGTTTGGGCGTGTTAGAATAGTTGAATTGGATTTGTTTCTAAAATAAGCTATTCATATGGAGTGGGATATTTCCTAATTTTTCTGTCTATTTTTAGGATGATAGGATGGTTTGCTGTTAAGCTTTCTAGAAGTCAATTCTTACATTGTATTTATCTTTGTAATTTCTACTTGGAACAGAATTAGGTTTCAGTCTTCCCAAATTTCACTTGGTATCAAAGCCATACTAGTTCTGTTTATAAAGGATTACAAGTTTTTTTCTGCCATTTATAGCATTTGTAACATTTGATAATCATCTTGGAATATTTCCCAACAGGAGGGTACAACACCCTTGAACCTATATGTTCAGGATGAATTTCATCGTTCTGCACAAGTGGGGGTTGGAGGTGTCAAAAGCATTACAAATTATGCTCCGTTAAAATATATGCTGGATGATCATAATAACCTCGTAGTTTCCTCTTTCACTTGTTTGACATTTATTGCTTTGTAGAAGATTTTATTGCTTTAATACGTTAACAACTTTTGTAGGTTTTGAATCATTGAACAGAGAATGGAACAGAGGCTTCTCTGATGTCTTATACCTTGATTCTATGAATAAGAGATATACTGAAGAGGCCTCTTCTTGTCCTGTCTTCATTTCGAAGGTATTTAGCGAATGTCCTATTCCATTTGAAGAATTACCTGATGCTAACGAAGTTTTTTGTATAGGTTATTTTACTCATAATTTTATTCTTAAATAGGTTTGAAGCACATCTCTCAATATGTAGCATCTTTTCTAGGTGTGGGTGTTGCCTGGAGGACTGCAAATGCCGAATCAGGATCAACGATTGTCATCTTCGAGTTAGGAGCAATAGGATTAATTTTATGATCTTCTACCTGATAGAATAGGAGGATTTGCCGTCTATCTAATTCATGAGGATAAAGATTTCTATTTTTTAGGTGCATAATTATAGATATAGAGCATGCTTGCCATGCTTTTTTAAATTTAGATGTAATGATACTTAGTAAATGGTTTTTATTTGTTGTTTGATAAAATATTTTTGGATTTGACGTTATGTTGATTGACACTATCTTTTTGTGTTTTTATATTATTTTGAATAAGGTTAAAAAAATTATTACAATATAAATAAAAAATAAAATATATGAAAATAATTTAATTTTTTTTCCTATGAATTCTTTCATAATATCCTGCAATTGTGCTTTCCCCACAAAAAAATATTTGTAGAGAAAAATAGTTTAGCCTACAAAATAATATGTACCATTTTAGAACAAGTACCCTTTCCATACAAAAAAAAATTATTTGTAGGGAAAAATACAATTTAGCCATCAACATGATTTGTAGGGAAAAGTGAAACATTTTGTAGGTAAAATTAATTTTAGCAGACGAATTATTTTGTCTGGAGAAAACTTACGCAACATATTGTATTCATCTCCAAATGGTTCGTAGGGAAAAGCTTTAGCCCACAAATTTCAAAAATTTGTCGTCTTATACCTTTTCCCTCGATGTTTGCCCTACAAACTTGCTTACAAAACTTTTTCGTCCGCAAATGTTTTTCCCCACAAGTATGAACCTTTCCCTACAAATAAACTTTGTAGGGGAAGTATAAATTTCTTGTAGTGTGGTATATAATGGGGTGTACCGAATGGTGTACACCTCACTCACATGGGTGTGGGACCCATGTGAAAGAAATGATATTTTATTCGAATGGATCCCTCGTCCATGTGAGTGGGATGTACACCATTAGGTACACCCGATGTACCACTAGTAAAACCATATATATATATAAGGTTTGCTTGTATGGAAATGCACGAAGAGGCTAGTGGCTTGGATGGTTCTTTGTTAATGACATATGAATTTTGATGAAGTTCAAAAGATGCTTTTGAGCTTTATTTATGTTTTTCTTGTTCGTGTATAGTAAAAATAAATAAATATATATATACACATATGTTTAAATATCATATTTTTGCAATGAGATAATATTATTGAAATATGTATTTTTAAATATATGTTTTATTCCTTTGAAGGGGGCACCATTAAAAATCTCGCACAGGGCCGACTCTGTGATGGATGAATGTCGCACAACAAAGGCACTTCAAATTTATTAATTTTCATATTCTTCTTCGAACCATGCTTATTTTGTTTACTAGGAGGATCCACCATATAGGGGCTCTTGCATGATTTAGATACTTATTCTTTTCTCTTCGACAAGTATCGGGGTGAGGCTTGTCAACATCCTCCACTCCTCTAGACAACACAATAGCAACATCCTCCACTCAATGGTACATTTATTGATGTATTCTCAGCAGTAATGTGCCAATACCTTGCCCCATCAAAAGCTAAACTTGCATCCTGCTAAGCATATTTTTAATGTTATTAGGTTCTTGCAAATCAGTCAATGTTGAGGCCAATATATTATTATAGTTTGACTGTATGGCATCACTTCTCGTGTCAATGTACTGTCTAAGTCCTAGCCCGTTGTGTCTACATGTTGCTTTAGAATATAGAACTGTGACTGCTACCATGCAACTCAATCAAAAAGCGTTGCTCTATCACATCATTGTTTTCATTTTCTCCATCATCGAAGCAGTATATCGTTCAAACATACCTGAGATGAACTCTAGTTTTGTCGCAAAACCTGTCCTTTTTTCAACCATCAATGTATTCATATGCTTCGTTGCCCGACAAGTATATTGATCAAACATACCCACGGTATAAACGGACAAATCTGTCGCAAAAGCTTTCCTTTGCCCAGCTAATAAGGTATATATTCATTAGCTCTCTTGTGACGTACTCCATAGCCAGGTCTAGATTGTGAGAAGATGAGATGTAAACCAATGATGGGAGAGGCATATTATATTGAGGGACACTGCTGCTACCATAGTGAGTGAATTGTTGGTGTTGTGGCGAGCTACTTGTCCGGAAAGGGTCTGCAACTGGAGAGGAGTAAACTCGATCATGATATGAAGTACTGTGATTCAGAGAACCCCAAAATTGTGCGATGAAGACAACACATTCCCGGTTCCTCCACAAATATCTACACCAATGAAGTTTTTTCATGCTCATCTTCAAATCCTTGCCAGTTCAATACAAGTTGGTTAAGCAAATCATGTGGTGCATCATCTGGAAGGACTAGGGCAGACATGCGCAAATGGGTGCCTAGTCTAATGTGGGGCAAAGTACAATTGTTACTTGAACTTAGAAAGAGAAGCATAAACATATATTAACAAATGCTTTACCAATATATAGAGACTTGAACTATTTCATCTATCATTGTTAACTTTTAAGTTGTACCAATGTTGATACCAAAAATTTTGTGATTGTAGTGGCTGCAAGTATGCATCCCATATTAAAAGACATGAGATTCAATCATGCATTTGAACGGCGAAGGCATTTCCAATCTTGGTATATCCAATACTACAAAAGAAACAAATGTAAATGTTTCAAATCAAACCTATGTAAAGAAAGAAACAAGAAAAGTAACATGGACATTGCAAACATACTTGAAAGTAAGGTGGGAACCTAACCCCTTTGTACTTGATTATCTTTCTCTTCTTGTTCCTTAGCGTTCTACGCCCTTCTACTCAAAGATCAAGTCAACAGATTAAACGATGTCAACAAGTTAAACAACATGTACTGCAAATATTATCCCTAAGAGGAAAAAATTCTAGTTTGTCCGCCAACAACAATGTCCGACAATCAATAAAACACATTCCACCAGCATTGCCAAACCCAAATTTTACTTGTCATCGTGGTCCTGGCAAGATACAAAAACATCATGCAACTTAATCATGGAGATACTTATTGCCTTGTTGAACCATTGATCCCTCAACCGATGAGTGTGCAAGGCCATTTTAACTTGCTATGCAGTTTTCCACGACCAATCTAACATGTCATTAGTGATACTCTTGCAATCCAAATCAGGCAAAACATCCATTAACCTTAAACCATTCTTTGTGCTCTTAGTTGGTTTCAACCATTCTGATGAGCAATTCATGAACCAATTTCCCTCTAAATTAGTTATAACTTCCGTTAACTCTATGAAAGGGTAGAAAAATGTTCTATCTAAATCCGCCTTCTATTCGCTATTGGAAATTGTCCATCAACTGTTGAGAATTTACTTATCATGCACTGCGGAAATAAAAACGAATTTCAATTCCAACCAGGAATCTTCTTTGTGTTTAGATAGGAATTGTGATAAAAGTCGTAACTTTTTCTAGATCTGCAAACTCCTTTGTTTTTTCTCTATTCCAGCTACCTTAATCTACCACCTACAGCTGTCCAATTGTTTAGCCTCCAACGAAATTCCACAAAGATGATAGATTGTAGTCACCAGAGTTTTCTTCTCTTGTGTCAATAAGAATAATGAGAATTTCTACAAATTGAAAACCCTAGTCACATATTTATATAAGCCCAAATGGGCTCGACCGACCCGGTCCAATATTTAATTGATCAATTTAATTAAATTCGTTTCATGAATTAATTAATCCAATTAATTAACTCGGGCCTATAAATAAGTAACCATATTAATTAATTTATTCAACGCTTAAATTAATTAATTGACAAATTACAATCTTCAAATTTTCTTTTTGTGTTCGACTCATCGGGTTCTCGATTAGGACACCTAACGACGTGAAATATTATTTTGATATTTTAATTTATCACCAATTCTGACTCGCCATTCTAGATTGATATCTACCAATGTGTTAGGACAATACACGTGATAGGAAATGTCACGTGGTATAACAAAACCAAATTTGTTTATTTACTGTAAAACTATAATCCCTTTGTCAACATTATCCAATCAACTATGAGACATGGAAGTGTATCAATTTCAATTATCAATCATATCTTTCATTCCACTACTAAGTCAATATAAGTTGGAAACTCCTTTTTGACTTTTGAGTACAGTTTGAGCAAGGATTTCGTTATCAACTTAATTGAATAAATTATGGATCATAATCTCTTATTATCTAAGAGTGACGAATCCTCTATTGGTCATTTACAACCTTTATATGATTCTTGACACACTCGAATGATGCCGTATTAGCGGCCCTTGACAGAGCAGCATCCAACACCGTCAAAGCGTGACTATCCTCATACAAGGCACCATGACAACCTCAAGTCAAAGGATTAATTTCATTATCAAATGCTAGAGATTAACCACTGACACGCAGATAGTTATCCATGTGGAATCTCTCAGGGAGTCTCCATTGTTTTATTCTATAACAAAACATCAACGTGTTCATTTAAGTGCTATCACACTTTAACTTGTGAGATTAGCTACTTGCTTCACAAGTAAGAAATGTTACACGTGGTGGTCTATCCGTAATAACGATATTCGTATCTCGTTGTTACTTACAACTATGGATTATTTAAGATCCAATCATATGTAATTTATATCTCACAATCACAACTCCTTGTGATTAACAAATTATTGAAACTTGAATCTTCGGACTCTATTATTTAATATTATTCATCAGAATATTAATTTAAATAAATAATAGATCTTGCCAAAATAAATGCATTAAACATATTAAAAGTGCTTACAACCTAAATCGATTGGATTTAGAGCATAACACTTACAAACTCCCATTTGCATTAGATCCAATTACTCATGTATCTAATACCATAAGCGTCCACATGACGATCATGTTTTTGTTGTGACTATGGCTTTGTCAATGGATCTGCAATATTATTATTTGTGGGAACTCGCTCTATCTTTACGTCATTTCTTTGTATAATCTATCTGATGAGATGATATCGCCTTAGCACATGTTTGGATTGTTGATGAAATTTCGATTTCTTCGCTTGTGCGATAGCTCTATTGTTATCACAATATAAAGGTATGGGATCAACAATGTTGGGAACAACTCCCAGTTTATTAATGAATTTCTTGATCTAGACAACTTCCTTTATTGCTCGGAAGCAGCAAGGTACTGGGCTTCTATTGTTGAATTAGCAGTTGTCTCCTATTTGAAACTTTTCCACCTAACCGCTCCCTTAAGAGTAAACATATATCCAGATTGAGACTTGCTATCATTCTTATGAGATCGA